TGGTATCAACTGGTTTGCATTCATTTACGTTTGTGGTATGGGATCACAAGGCAGCGGAAACTACCAGTAGGGGCGCGATCACAAACGCGAGTCGTTTTGGAGTGCAGAGTGAGATAGAGTAGCAGAGTGTGACGTTTGGCGAGTTGGTGCATAACCCCAAAAAAGATATTTGTGGCGCAACTGGTAGAAGCAATGAAACAAAAAACAAGAAGAAAAGATAAAGAGCCCTATCCGATCTCCTTCCGTTTAATTCCTTGCTTGTATCAGTTGCACCACAAACATTTTATATAGTACGATACTAAGCGAGCGCAACCCTACCAGCACCTGAAGGGAAGCGGATGAAATATCTACGCGCTACTTTTCTCGTCACGTGGGAAAATGAGCGCTAGTGTTTAAGGCAGAACTTTACAAGCCGACGTGTATTGTCACTAAAGTTCTCGTTGCTCGAATTTGGTTCCACTGCCGGAACTTTGCGGATCACTTTGCTTCCAAGCAAAACGAAGTCACCCCATTGAAAGGCACTGCCTACATGTATTTCGGGGTAGTTCATGTTCTGTGTCCATTGGCACCCTTCTATGATACTCAATGACCGTGCCGAAAAGTAACGCTTGATAATTTTTTTTTCTCGAAAGACAACGCTGCTCCAGTGCACACACGTAAACTGGCGAAAAGGCTACAGCAGTCGAAGGAACGGTTTACAGTTGTAATTCTGCACTCCCTGAACATGTGTCGCGTGCCGAAGGAACCCATGAAAACCAATCGGAGCATATTAAATGCACAGAAAGCGTGATTCCTGACAATGACATTGGCCTTTACGTGTTTAACGGCCAAGACACCACAAGTGTCAGGATGACAAGGCCTAGACGACGTTTGCTAATGGTGCCAAGAGAACGAGGCGCTAACGAGAGTTATCCCTAAATTATTAAGCGCAAACTTAAGTTCTAACTTCACTAGCAAGAAAAGTTTTCTTGACTTGTGTATTCGGTATTTCACAAGGGAGCTCTCTGCAAGACATGTGTGCTTTTTGGAAACGAAGTTCAGGCAAGGGTACTCCCCTAGTTCTTGGTGTTTTGGTCCTCTCTCCATTCACACGGGGGAGAAGGCTCTCAAAAATTTCAAAAGCCACAGCGAGTGTGACTACCCCAAGCTTTTTGTTTTACACGCAAACTGAACGTAGAAACTGCACAACGTAGAAGTAGTTACCTCGTAACTAGGGGAGCGAAAAAAACAAGGACAGAAAAGAACGCTGACTTGTCCCGCCGTTGTGGTCTAGTGGCTAAGGTACTCGGCTGCTGACCCGCAGGTCGCGGGGGCGAATCCCGGCTGCTGCGGCTGCATTTCCGATGGAGGCGGAAATGTTGTAGGCCCGTGTGCTCAGATTTGGGTGCACGTTAAAAAACCCCAGGTGGTCGAAATTTCCGGAGCCCTGCACTATGGCGTCTCTCATAATCATATGGTGGTTTTGGGACGTTAAACCCCTCATATCAAAGAACGCTCACTTTCAACAAAGATTTAATATCAGAAGAGTATACATTTATAGGCGAAAAAGGGAGACATTGGGCATGCGTGGAAGGGTGCAGAAACAACCACTGCGATAGAATGTCAGCAAAACTCTTGTGTGTTGTTGAACGAGTGGAAAACAAATACACGTGTAGCTTATAAAAGATTGAGATACGCAATTTCTTTTTGCAACAACGTGACCGATGGGCAACTAACACATTTACCGTCAAACTTATTTATTTGATACGCTTCAATTATCTCACGCGTGGCCTGCGAGTTGTGCTTGCTTAATACCTCGCAACACTAAAAAACTGGCACGCAGCCACAGTCTCGGCCGTGGATTTCGAGGTGTCCTTGAGCTACACTGTGCACAATATTATTGCGCTCTCTTAAACGGTCATTGAGGCACCTACCGGTTTGCCCTATGTATACCATTCGGCACGATGCGAAATAAGATATACGACACCAATAACACAAGGTACAAAGCCCGTTCTGTGTTTCACAGTGCATCTCCCTATAATAGCAGCTGGATTATTCACCAGCTTACAAAGCTTTGAAAGCTTTTCTGGGGCGCAAAACGCAACAGTGACCCCAGCGCGTTTACCGATTTTTTTTCAGCCGATGTGAGACGTTATGCAGATAAGGAACTGCAACACAGTTCACGGGAACTGATGCGTTTTGAGGCTGAGATCGCCCTACTTGATTTCTAATTTGCTTCAAAAGTTTTTCCGCAACAGCAGAAACCAGGGCGTTCAAGTAACCAGCGCTTAAGAGGCGCTCTACCTGTGCTTTCAAACTGCATTGCATCCAGTACTGGCATGACCTGTTAAGAGCGTTTACCAGGCAAACATTAATGATACCCCTTTTCACCAATTTCGAATGAGCTAGGTGGAAAGGTAAAAGGGGTTCACCACTTCTCGGTGAAAACAGCCAGCACAAATGATTGCTTCTAAGACAGAGTGTTAAGTCAAAGAACCCAATCGAATTTCCAGATGGTAGCTCATAAGTAAGTTCAAGAGGATACAAGTGCTTCACAAACGAATCGAGAAGACTAAGGACAACAACTTCAAAAGCAGTATTCAAACGCGATTAATTTTCTATAAGCTTTCAAAGGTGAGTCAATCGCTAAAAAGATGGTATCAATAGCGGAAACACAAAATGAATTAAACATAAAAAAGAACTCATCGCCATTATATCTGTGAAATTGGGGGTGGCAAGGTGGTTCTGAGAGACGATTATGAGAACCACAATTATCGGAGATGCCACAGTGGGGCGCACCAAAAACTTCAAGGCGTTGGGTGTTTAACGGCCACGTAAATCAAGTGCATAGGCCTCGAGCATTTTCGCCTACTTCAGAAATACGACAAGGAATCGGTTCCACGACCTGCGAGTCAGCAATGGAGCTTATAATCACTGAACCCACCGTAGGCAGTAGTAAAAAAAAAGGTTTTGGCGAAATTATCATGCGCTACTTTTCGTCTGGCTGTGAGGACGTAAGTTCAACTGATTGAGATATTTTGCTGAAAATCACTTTCACACCGGGACCGAGTTATTCCGTTGTCTTCCGTTGCCTACTCCTTGCTTTACGGTGGCGCCTTTGATTGCTGATGTTGGCGTAATTTTGGGCAACATACAATCTGACACGTAATGCGCAGAATAATCTTTGTTTCAATTGAAAAAGTTAATCAACAGTATTCCGATATGACATGTGTCTCTTTGTTGCATGGAACGTTGCTTGAACAGACTTTATTTCATTTCTTGTAAAAATATAGTTACTCTGTGTATTGCTCTTAACTTTACATGACATGTCCACCAATGTTTTTCTTGTGCATTTTTTGTTGTGCGACATGTCGCTAATTGCGGAAATCCCTCAGTGTGCCTTGTAGTCATGTGAATGTAAAGTGACGAACAGATGAAGGAAATGAATATATAAATTTTTTTATGTGTAGTATGTTTTTTCACCTTTATTTTACTTATTCTTGCCCAGTCTGCCACACTGCTGAACAGTAAAACTTGCTCTCTCTACAGCTGCCCACACTGCATTTCTGATTGCACTGCTTTAGGTTTATCACCACCACCTTTTTATTGATCAGTTTGAGTTACACGATGAGTATTTTAGAACGCCTCTATACAGTTGTGGTTGACCTGCACGTATGTCTGTGTTGCACCTTGGTCACTAGACAACACTTTAAAGTGTATTTAGCCGTTAAGGCACAGTAAATGTATGTATCAATATATTTTACGCTCGAATACAAGCGAAGTTCAGTGGACAAGCTGAATATTCTATAACGCGCGCTCATGTTTGCCTGTGTGTTAAGATGCTAGCAGAACGTACAAGTGTTCAATGGAAGTAGTAGTCTCTGGCTTGAGTATATGTTGGCACACGTTTGAAGAGTCACATTTTAATATGTTTGAACGTGCCCTATCACACCCTGGAGCTGTGTCTAGCTTTTACCATTAAACTAACCGCTGCCTACTGGAAATTATTGCAGTTATTGACTTCAGCGAGATGTGTTCCAGTGGGTACAAGTGACCACCGTTGCGGCTATAATCCTGTCACCAAGCCAACTTAAGATACTCGTGGTAGAGATTATTGCTCGAAACCTCACAGAGTGCGAAAGACTTGACAAACACCAGACTATATTCACTGTAAAAGGGACCAGGAATGATAGTGTAGTAGAATGGCGGCTTTGTTTCTAAATTATGTCAGCGTAAAGCGGTGAAAAAGAAAGGTGGGTGAGTCGCGGGGGGGGGGGCAGAACATATGGGGGAGGAGTAGAACCTCTCTTCCTGGCTACGCCACTGGCGTTCTATCTACCTGTATCGTAGACCACAAAGTAAAACCATGTGCTTACATGATATGGCCGAGATGGAGAATTTTGTGCGCCTTTCGCCGAAGTGGACTAAGTGCTGTGTCAAAAAGCTAAGAGGGCAACGCAAATCCTTGCATGCAGGGGCCTGTTGTGTGTAGCGGCACGTATGATGATTGTCTGCGCACAGGGTGGCCGCTCAGTTGCTCTGGAAACCCTTGATCACATGGCTTCGCAGGCCAACCATCAGGTCTATCAGGGCACTTGAGCGCCTTCGTGTGCGACGTGACCGAATGCTTTTTGAGGCCCGTTGCCAGGACAGCTTTTGTTTGCCTAAGTATGAGGGAGCCCCGAATAGCTCTCGTGAGCTGATGCATCGCATCTTGTTTCGATCGAAAACAAATGATTGAGCGCTGATATTCAATGGAGGGGTTGTTAAGTGTTTGTTGCCGTATTTTCTCTGATGTAAATTGCTTCGCATAAGACGGCCCTAGTTGCAGCTACAGTTGTAAGTTAGGGATTTTTAATGTTGCCTAAAACTTATAAAAATTCGTACATACAATATTTGCCTGCAATCACCAATCTCGAATTGCTTTTTTTTTTCTTTCTGTCTATCTCGAATGCATTACTCGTACACTAATGAATTTTTCCCTATGTGCTGAATTTCTTTTTTTTTCGTCCCTTCTGCAGGCATGCCGAGGTACAGCAAGAAGGAAGAAATCAACTTCAATGAGAGGCTGACGTGGCGCAGACGTAAGTTTAAACGTGCTGATCCTTCGAAATCTGTGCACACCAAAGTCTGTGTGCTAACGCACGCTAAGCAATTTCAAACGCCCATGAATAGCGCTGTGTATCAACGGCGGCTGCTCTTAGTCTGCATAACACGTCAAATGTCTTTTAGGTACCGTCTGCGCTGCAACACATCAATTTACGCTTAAATAAATATACGCTTCATGAACTTCACCACGAGTTTCACTGTGCCTAAATGTCAAGGTTTCGAAGAAGACTTAATATGCCATCTAAAATACCGAAGATGATTTCTATAACGTTATGCAATGCGTCTTCAACCTAGTTCAGTCAGTTTCAGCAGTGAAATCAAGTCCATATATTCAGCTTGACGTATGCCAGTAAAATTTTCTATACTTGTAGCGAGCACATTTGAAAAAGCGCAGAGCAGTGCAACTGTCGTGTTTGAGCGTAATAATATGATAACACCTTAGGAAGTCCCAAAATACGTTAAAGTTGCAGAGCTTTGTGTTCGAAATAACTTCCTTCAAGGTGCAAAAACAAGCTCGCTTGCTCATGAGAGGAGTCGAAGGCGACCTTCCTGTTAGTCGACGTATTCGAAAGCTTTCTGCGTGTAGCGTGACATTGCACAGCCTCGGCACACTTATGGCCAAGTGACGACGTCATGTGATGAGAAGTTTTGGGGCAGGCGTCATTGCATGTTTTGGTAATCTGTGACGTCTTCATGGTGGCATATGACGATGTCATCACAACATGATTTTCAAATCAGTCAACTTAAAGCCACTGTGAGTTTTTCTTTTGATGAGGCACCTAAAGCAATCGCCTTAAAAAGTCCACGCAGAATATTCTGCTCGATTTTCAGGGTAATGTGTACGTATCATTTTTAATTGTTGTTTGTGACTTTTCATAGAATTCATCTTATGGGTTACCGTGACTTTTTTTTGTGGTTGACACTGTGACATATACTACAGTTTTATGCTGTGGACTGAATTAGAGTGACCTATAAAATAAAGAGTATCTAAAGCACCAGCTCTCGCGCGGACCTATTGCGATGCACCTTCCATGCCGCGCCGCTCTGCGCCGGACCCGTGGGTTTTCCGCGCTCGGAAGCGCGTGGAAAGCGATGAGCGTCTGCTACGCGCAGTAGTTTTCGCGCTGTACTTGCACGCAGGGCACTTGATGTATGCTGAACTTTGAGGTGTAGAATGGAGCTCGCACATCGTTAAGAGTTTTGTTAGTGCCTGGGGCAGCAAGGGAACGCCAATACTGATCTTTGAAACGGCATCAACGTGGTCATGTTGTGGTGCTAGAGTTGGAATACGCTAGAGTTGGAATATTTGGCCGCTGTGTGTGCGCAAAAACGTACAACATGCAAGGAAACAACAAAAACAACATGAATTGGATGGCCAAGCGAGTAATAGCACCATACATGCAAGAAATACTAGTAATGAATACCATAAATTACTTTTTAATTCAGCAGAAATGCGTGCAGTGACCGCTTGGCTAACCGTTACGGGCTTTTCAGTCACGGTAGCCGGTGGTTCGCAGCCAGACACACATGTTATATCAGATAACTTGCTTGCCTTGACTACTACATTTCAAGAAGAGAGAACAGCTAGAAGAGAACACGGCTGTACCACAGCAATGTCTTTTAACCTATTTCGTTTAGACCTATAGCGTACAGAAAGAAGATTGCCATGCGTCAAAGTTATTTTCAAATCAGACAGTCGAAAAGATACCACTGCTAGAACCACACATTTTATTCTATGTTTACACAATAAACAGATAACATTGAAAAGTTCCTTAGGTATATCCACACAACGCTAAAAAAGATACAAGCAGCAGCACTATCGCTGTGTAAAATAACTTACTGTAACGAAATACGTCGAGCAACTACAGGAGTAACAATGTTCCGTCACTCAAGCAAATTGTTTGTTTAAATACGCATTTCCCATATGCCCTAGCCTGACAAAAATGTTCTATGCAACAACATAATTTTAAACAGGCATAGCAATTCTGTATGTTTCCGTGCGATCAGGCATCAATTTTGTATCGGGATTGTCCTTGTCTAGAGGAATCGCATCAGCATAAAGTTTTCGGATGAGATAAAACATGAAAAGAACATTTCCTCGTAATTTGTCATCCATTTTCATAACTCCAGCTTTTTAGTTATTCATAGCAATGTATATTCACGAACCCTGAAACATCAAGTATAGAAAATAAATCAATAAGGTCACTCACGCGTTAAAATTCAGCGAGTGTTACACTTTTCTAACACACACGACGAAAGCCCCGCCAATAATTAATGACCCACGTGCGCTTGTTTTCTCTGACGTTCCCTCGTAACATGAAGTTCATTTATTTGATTAGTCTTGTTTCTCTGCATACCTGTAATATTTTGATTTGTGCAAATTTTATGAATGTGCTCAGTTCATCAAAATATATGGGTAAATTGTAAACAAGTAGGTGATGACCACGTTTACATCACCCGGTGGAGAAGATCACACGTCATATTTTAGAACGAAAACTATAGATTCTTCATTAAACGCGAAAATTGACCATCGGCGTCGGTGTCCCTCCTTGTTGGCGATAGGACGTTTGAGCATAGGCGTGCACACATGCTTACATGGTTATCCGTCAGGGGGAGGGGGTGACAATTCATCGCAGCTTGCCCCCATACCGATTTTGTCAACGTTTGGGGCTGACTTTCAGCCCCCAACCCACGTGTCGCAGCACCCCCTCCATGTATTGTCAATATGCGGGTGGTCACTACGCGCCCCTCCCCCTACGCGAGCACGCCTGTGTGTACGAGTCATGCAAAAAATTAGCACGTGATGACGTTGCCATGACATAAATGATGACAAAGTTTGTGACGTCATCATGTCGTTTTATTATGGCATCGTCCCTTCACACTGATTGATATGTGGAGTTTAACGTCCGAAAACCACCATTTGATTATGAGAGACGCCGTTGTGGAGGGTTCCGGAAATTTCGACCACCCGGGGTTCTTTAACGTGCACCCAAATCTGAGCGCATAGGCCTACAACGATTCCGCCCCCATGGGAAATGCAGCCGCAGCAGCCGGGATTCGATCCCGTGACCTGCGGGTCAACAGATATACCTTAGCCACTATACAACCGCGGCGGGGCTCGTCGCTTCACAGTGTCTACGTGATCGGCCAACCAGTCACGGATGCAGTGCAAAACAAAGTGAGGTGCAGAAGCTTGAGCTGAGATTACTTAAGACCCTACAGATAGTAAAAAAACCACGTTCAGTGCAGAAAACTCTCGGGGTGGCGGGGTAAGTTAAATTTATCGACTGAAGAAAAACACCGTGTAATTCGCATCGACCTGTCTAAGGCGACAGCATAATTAAAAATCTTGCGAGCTGTTATGGTTAATGGTGGCGTGAAAGGTAAACATGTCCCGTTATAGATCTCGTTACTGATTAGCCATGTGAGTCACACTCTCTCTAGGGCCGATTGTAAACCAATTGATGAAGACATGAGAGTTACACCAATTAACCTCTTTTTTTCTTAGTACAGCGCGCACAATGACGGGCACATACCGCTTCGCATGAGCTACTTAAGGCTTTCAGCTATCCGAAAAAACGAGATAGGGCAGGAGCCCGACTTATTATCTCAGCTTATGATCTTTTGTAGCATGTCTACATTTGTCCTTCCAAGCGTAACTAAATTGAGCCTCCTTCGCTTATGAGACAGTGCGTCCAGAAAGCGTTCCTCAGGCGGCCGAGTATGTGTGTACCATTGCGGTGATACATCAGCTAGACGTAAACAAACCAGATCTCCCTTTCGCACCACACAAACACGTTCTACGCGCAATGAGTGAATGCAGTAGTACGTTGCAGAGACATAGTATTCAATATCACCAACAATATTGCATTGTTGGCTAACAGCCTGAAAAATAACTGGCGCGTAGCAGACGCCTGCCGTTTTGTTGCGCCTTCAATCGGGGAAAAAAAAAACATGATGGATGGATGGATGGATGGATAGTATATGGCTGTACCCCTTAGATAAGGCGGCAACTAACGCCACCTAGCCGTAATACTTCGCGAACCAAAAAACTAGATTAATCTTTTTTCTTTAAATAGAGTGAAGTTGAGGACTGGTACTTTGCAGTGAAGGGCTTATTTTTCACTCGTGCCATGATTTTAGCGACCAATCAGGGAACTTCTTTCTAGTTAATTCTACGCGCCTAAAGTCTATTTTGCCCTCTTTTTCCCTAAACCCCAGTGCTTCGAAAAACTCTGTGTCATCATCCTGAACTATAGGTTGAAGACCTCAACAGAACATTATCAAGTGTTCGGCAGTTTACTCCTCTCCACACGCACTGCATACCGTGTCTACCCCTTCGTATTTGGCACGATAAGACTTCTTCACAATACTCCTGTCCTGGCCTCAAGCAGTAGAGGACTACCCCGAGTATTACTATACATCCTTTCCTTGGCGATTTCCTGCGTAAAAGTTTCATAAATCTCTAGCGCGGACTTCTTATTGATGCCGATTCTCCACATATTGGTCTACATTTCGTTCACCTTCTTCTTAACCGATAATTTTTTTTTTTTGGTTTTGCCCCCTGCTATTTTCTAAGTATTTACCCGTCAATTTCTGGTTCGCTTGCTCCATTTTGTGTCGACATTTCTCATGTACAATATGCTTTAAACATTCCTCGCCCAATGCTCCTCCCCCTGTTCTCTCAATCGCTTCTCAAAATTTATCTTGCTGCTAGCTTCCCTGCCCTCGAACGATGTTCATCCCATATGACCTTGTACTCCCTGATTTGGTGTATTCCTGTGAGTTCCTTAAGCAAGCCTACAAAATCCTCATTGCCTAATTTCTACTGTTGCTTAAATCTCTAATATCATGCCCAAACCGCATTGCCGAGAGTCAGACCAGGAACCATGAAACCTTTCCCAATTTCTCTCGTAACATCGCACCTATTGTAATTCCACAGTGCCCTATTTTCATCACCGTTGCATTTCTGTTT